TCCATTTTCACATATTTTCACTTTGTTCAAACTTTTTGATTTCTCAACTTTTTTCGACATTTCACTTTTTAATTTCTCAAGTTTCTTTAGAGTTCTCAAAATTTTATGAGGTTTTCAAATACCTTTTTCTTTCACATTTTAATTTCTCAAGTTTCTTTAGAGTTCTCAAAATTTTATGAGGTTTTCAAATACCTTTTTCTTTCACATGAACATAGTAGTCTTGTTTCGCATTTTCTCAAAATTTTATGAGGTTTTCAAATACCTTTTTCTTTCACATGAACATAGTAGTCTTGTTTCGCATTTCCACTTTTTAAACTTTCCAATTTCTCATGGTTTAATTTTCGAACTTTCCAAAATTTCAAACTGTTTTTAGGTTTTATTATTTTATAGAAAAAAGTTTTAATATTCAAATGATTTCAACAGTTGAAATTATAGAAGTAGGTTTCCCACTTTTTCATAGGCTATTTTAGATATTTACATTTCAAACTTTTCAATTTCTCAAACTCTTTCCATTTTTACATATTTCAAATATTTTAAACATCCATTTTTCCAAACTCTTTTCTGTTTTTTTATTACATATTTACCTTTTTTTCAAACTTTTTAATTTTTGAAGCCTTTTGACATTTTTAAATTTTTACATTTCAAGATTTTTCAAGTTTTCACAACTTTAAATGTTTTCTCTAACTTCTTTCCAAAGTTTCTCAAACCCTTTTTAAGTTTTCGTAATATCTTTAAAATTACTTTGTCTTTTCTAAGCTTTCAAACTTTCTAATTTGTCAAATTCTTTTCATTTTCACATGTTTTCACTTTCTTCATTGACATTCTACTTTAATTTTCCAACTTTCTAATTTCTTGAACTTTTCCCTACTTTAACATAGTTAACTTGTTTTGCATTTAGCTTACCTTTCAAACATCCCAATTTCTAAAACTTCTCAAGTTTTTATAACTCGAGTTTTTCAAACATATCGTATTGAGACATTTATGCTTTGGAAATGCTGTAATTTGATTTTGTTTTGTTTATTTCTACTTAGTTGCTTCTTATGCTCTGGGCTTTGTTCATGTGAACTTAGTGCCATGACTGTACTTACTTTTCAAATATATTTTTCATTTTGACACTATTTTATCATATTCCGAAAGTCTTAATCTTGAGAACTTTTCAATGGTTTGAAGTTTTAAAGTAAGTTCTACATAATTTCAAACATCATTTTAACATGTTTTCATTTTTTATTTTATGACCCTTGTGTTCGACAAATATTTATTTTGGAAAGGTAATATTACCATCCATCTTTTGTATTTTGACTGATTACCTTTCCATATATGAAATACTTATTCCAGGAGAATTTTAATCTCATTTCAAAATAGTTCCGGGTTATTCCCAGGATAATTTTAATCTTGTTTCAATATTATTATCCATTTCCTTTGCACCTATTGGCAGTGTATATTGACTGATTATTTTTCCAATATAAGGTTCATATGAGATATTTCTTCTGTTTCACCAGCCATCTCTTTAGGCTTGTTGAGATCAGTTTTAATCTTGGTTACATATTACCATCCATCTTTTGTATATTGACTGATTACCTTTTTTAAATATGAGGTACTTATTCAGTATCACCAGCTATCTCTTTATGTTTGTTGAGATCGTATATTATCAACCAATATCTTGAACTGAAAGCTTGGTACAAATTCTTAACTGTGTAAAATGTTTTGGGCTATTTGCAGGACAATTTTAATCTTTGATTCAATATTACCATCAATCTCCTTTGCACCTATTTGCTGTGTATATTAACTGATTATATTTCTGATTTTCATTGATGACCTTCCGTGAATTTGATGCGTTCATATAAGATGTTTATTCTGTCTCACCGGCTATCTCTTTAGGCTTGTTGAGATCAATTTTAATCTTCATTCAAAATTACCATCCATCTCTTTGTCTATGGACTGGTTACCTCTCCAAATTTATGCTCATGAACCTTTCCAATTTTTGGTTCACTTATGACCTTTACTAATTTGATGCATGCATATGAGATATTTATTCTGTGTCACCAACTATCTTTTTAGGCTTGTTGAGATTGTGTCCATTATCGACCAATATTTTGAACTTAACAGAAAGTATGTTCCGTACGTATCATTTCTTAACAAAACCTGTTTGTTGAGCTTCATTAAATCTTCTATCTCGAATAGATGACCTGCATTTTATGTACCTCTAAATTTATCAATTTCCTTCTATAGGCCTACTGGGAGAGTGTATTGGTTACTTAGTAATAATTATAAGAAAGCTTGATCCAAGTGACTTTTCCAATACTACTGTCCTATGACATCTTGTATAACATCCTTTGGCTTATAAAATTTTGCCATCGATAGATTCTTTTATATTGCCAATCCTTCTATGGGCCTGCTGGGAGAAGTGTATTGGTTACTTGTTACTAATTATAAGAAAGCTTGATACAAGTTGACTTTTCCAATCCCCCGTCCTATGACATCTTGTATGACATCCTTTGGCTTATAAAATTTTGCCATTGATAGATTCTTTTTATATTGCCAATCCTTCTATGGGCCTGCTGGGAGAAGTGTATTGGTTACTTGTTACTAATTATAAGAAAGCTTGATACAAGTTGACTTTTCCAATCCCCCGTCCTATGACATCTTGTATGACATCCTTTGGCTTATAAAATTTTGCTATTAATAGATTCTTTTAAATTGCCTTGTAGAATTTCATCTTTTTCTCAAGATTTTTTTTCTCGAAAAGAAAAAAAGTGTCGTTTAACATTTCAGATTTGTAAATTACATCTGATTTTCCCTTTAAATGTTTCAAAATTTGTATTTCCAGTCATTTACTCATTTATTCATTTATGATCGATATAAAAAAAAAATTTAAATCCCCAAGTTCTTGAATTTGAAATTATTTAATTGTTTTTAATACTCTTTTGATCTTTGGTATTTCTTTTTCTACTACCTGTTATTTTCAGCAACCATATCGAACTTATAAAATAGTTTGTGTTACCATTATCAAATAGTTTCAAATTTTTTTAGGAAATAGTATCAATGTTCCTGACTTGTTTTGTGAATTTTGAAAATTTGAAATTTAATCTGAGGTTTGTATATGTTTTATTTACTTTCAAATAAATGTAATATTTTTGACAAATTTTGAATTATTAAACTGGTTGGTGTATTGTCTTAGTTTTAACTTAACACTCTTTTTCCATACACACACGCACGCACGCACGCACGCACATACATAACTCAAAATTTGAAACTATAAATACCTGGTTTGTTTCATTTTTTATTTTTTTTCTAGTAATAAACATACACTACACTTTATCAAAGGTTTCTAATTTTTTTGAATCAAAGTACCCATATGGTTTTCTCAAATTTTCAAAATAGTAAAATCTTTATGAGAATTTTAAAACTCTATATTATTTGGTGTATCATTTTGTTTTAAGGTTCCTCGTAGGCCTTTTATGTTATTGCTTCAAGCACTACCTTAACGTTTTCGAAGTTCCAAAAAAATTCTTTGAAATAACAGTCATCTCTTAAAATTTCAATTGAAGTCTTGTCTTTTTAATTTTTGAAAGTAATTTTTTTCATTTATTATTTTTTTCAGAATTTTTTAAAACCTGTTGATCTATGAAATTTCCAATTGATTTCAATAATTTTGAAAAACTGGAACAAAATATGGTGTTTTTATCTTGTTCCTTTTAATTACGGAGTTCGTTTTTAACTTGTTTTTGACTTGTTCCTTTTATTTCTGAGAAAGGTCTTCTATAATTACGTTCTAAATAATGTATTTCTTTAAAGCATCAAAATTGACTTGTATATTACATACTTCTCATTAATCATCATAACTTGCATCAACTCAAGTTGTCACATGTTATCGGTTTCCCAAGTTATGTGAACTGATATCAAGTGCTTCATTAATTCTACCCTCGGGTGATCTCACACATTTGAGAAGTCAGTCCTCAATAATATTAGTCTCATTAGGCATGTTGATATCAGTTGCCCTATTCATACTCACCGGAAACTTGCAAATGTGTTTCATCTATTTATCCTTTTATGAATGTTTAAAATACAGCTTAACGTGATCCAACATCAGATCATTTCTTATAGATTTCCTGATAGTCTATAGTGCCTACTTTCAGTTACTAACTGAAACTGATGCCAATTCTAGAGTCTCACAGATATTTATCCACGACCTAGTTGTTGATCCGGAGACTTGTAGAGGGCTTTCATAATTTTATTCATGCCCCAATTTTTGCATGCACTTCAATATTGATCTAGATCCTGTAGCCCCATCTAAGCCCTTAAGGTTATTGAGATTATATATTTCCTGCTTATCATTACCCACCAAAATTTGATACTAAGGGTTTCACTACATAAGTTTCCTCTCAGTTATTCTAAGTTATATTATGAGATTATATATTTCCATCTTATCACTATCATAAGATATTTTCTGAACCTCATTATGGAGCATATTCAATTGCTTAGACTTGGCGACAGTATATTTTACTTATCTTACTCATTGAAATTTGTCGAATCGATTTGCGATCAAGCTTAATTAGCCACCAGTATATTTTACTTATCTTACTCATTGAAATTTGTCGAATCGATTTGCGATCAAGCTTAATTAGCCACCACTAACTACTTAACTAACTGTGGATCTCCTTAATTGACTAATTGATACCTTGTGCCACATTAATTTTACTATCATTACCCGTTAGTGATTCACATGCACTTTAGATGCTTACCTTGTTTTACTATCATTACCCGTTAGTGATTCACATGCACTTTAGATGCTTACCTTCTGTGAGCTCCTCTTTTTTGGGCTTGTTACTCTACAGTCTTTTGGGTGACATCTTACATCCAGTTGGACTTTACTTAGAGGTACGCTTAATCTGAATTTGATACAATGGGCACATCAATTCTACTCTCATTTATGCATCTCGTGCACTCTAAATATTAATTCCTTATCATAATGTGCACTTTTTGGGTTATCCTTATTGCAGTTTGTTCAGTGTAAGCATATATTGAGGTTGTATATGTTCACTTATTGGCACTCCCTTGAGCTTGTACCAAGGGGCTTCCTTAACTCTTCCCTATAGCCTCGGGTTAGAACCGGATTGACTCTAATTTAATATTGAGGTATTGACATTTGAACTTGCCTATTCTCTTCGATAATATGAATCTGAAGTTTCTTCTCTGAATCTAAAAGTATGTGAAATTATTTTCTTGTGTCCTATGCTTATGAAAATGTGTGACCTATTAAATTACTCGGTAAAATTTTTTAATTTAATTTTTCCTCTTCTCACAAAACTATAGCTAAACTTTTGAAACTATATATAATTATTTCATTAACTGTTTTAATTAAATTTCCTAGTACTAAACTCTTTCTACACAAATTTTCCTAGAGCTTTCTGGAATTTTACGAAGTTTGTGGGATTTTTTGAAGTCTAAGCTTTATTTTTAGTGTACTTTTTAAATTACAGTAATATGACATTTTTATCAAAAAGATTTTGATATCTTGGTTGAAATTTTCTCTAATTGATTAGAAAATTTTATAAACCAAATATAGTTTTTGCTCTTTGTTTTTCTTTCCAGTTTTGCAGTTCTGAATTTTATCAAAATTCTTCTTAACTTTTTAATTCTCAAGTATCAAAATTTTTAATGTTATCCATATGCTTTTTATTCTCAACAAACTTATGTTCTGTAGGTTATAATTTATCAAACTTGTAAATAGATTGCCTATTTTTTTTTACTTTGTAGTATAATGTGATGTGTTCCTATTGAGGATAAAATGAGAGAGAATCGACTAAGGTGGTTTGGTCGTGTACAATGGAGAACTCTTAACGCATCGGTTACGAAAAATGATAATATTATAGTTAATGGGGAAAAAATCTAGAGGTAGACCTAAGGAAACTTGAATAGAAGCAATTAAAAGGGATAAAAGGATATGATAATAGTTAAATAGAGGAAATGGCCGAATATCGAACGAAACTGAAAGAATATGATTCATGTAGCTGACCCTAAGCGTTAGGGATAAAAGGCTTTGTAGTTGTTGTATAATGTGATGTTTTTTAAAGATGGTCTATCATTTTTTTAAAATTTTCCTAGTAACGAAATCTTTTATCTCTATTTCAAGAAAACACAATTCAACCTTAGAGCTTTTTGGAATTTTAGAAATTTGTGGAATTTTGAATCCAAAACTATACCTTTTTTTTCATTTTGCTTTTTAATTATAGTAATATTGTAGTTATAAAATATTTTTGTCATATAGTTCAAAGATTGGTTTGAAATTTCTTGAAAAACAAAAGTGATGTGCTCAGCTCGCTTTTCGTTCCATTCTTATAGTTGCACATATTACCCCCTACATTAGTCTCGCAGACACTTAGTACTGCTGTTAAACGTTATTATCCAAAATTTTCCGTATCAACGACCATTTTCTGCCTTCATATTATTTATCATTTGAACTTGATATGGATGATTTTCTCTTAGGGGTGAACTCGATTTGGATATGACACTTATCATATCCATATCCACTTCCTAAAAAACAGAAACCGATACAGATATAGGTATTCTTCGATAAGAAAAAGTCAACCATATCCACATTAATTGGAAACAGATATGGTTTGTATGTTAGGGAAGCGGATATGGATACCATCACATATGCAAATCAGATATTTGAAAAACGGATATGATTCGGATATCAATCGGATAACATAAAATATCATGTTAAGTGGACAATAAAAGTTATCAGTTAAAAAATTTATTTTGGATAGTAAGATCTCATGAAATTTCAACCACACTAACCTAAGCAAACCTCACAAAACTAAGAATTGCAAGCAATTGATTAGACAAAAGTACGAGACAAGAATTACAACATAAAGTGCTGCAAATTTTTCTTCTAGGCCTCCCATTTTATTATATCCATTGATAAAAAAATAAATTAAATTATAGTGTAACTTAAAATTGACTATAAATAAGTTTAAAATGTATAATTGTTACCTCTGTAAAAGCATGATATAGTAAACCAAAAACATATGACGACATTTTAAATCGCATGCAATTGATATCAAGATAATAAAAAATTTAATAATAATCATATCTGTAACTAGGTCGGTGTCCGAATTCATATCTAAATCTATATCTAATCCATATCTGAATTTAAATAGTCGGACCGTATCCGAAAATTGAGTCGATATTTGTATCCAACCAAAAATGTGAAACCATATTCGCATTTGTTTTGGGTTACTATTGTAGATCAAATCAGATATATATGGGCTATTTTGCACTTTACTTCCCCCTATTCGACCTCTTCATTTATCTGTCTTGGCTTGTTAATCGTGTGTCTAATAGTTTTTACACATCAAACTTTTATTTCTCGAACTTCATCCATCGTTGTCCATCGTTCTGCACTAAATATTTACTGTGTAGTTCTGTATTAACCGGTATCGTCATCCATTCTTTCTGCGTTCATTCGCAGTGTGTAACACCATTTTATTTGTATGCAGTAGCACTTAATACTATGTTGCATCGTGAGGGCATGCACTTTAGATATCTTCATATCATCAGCTATCACCTTAAGCTTATTATCATTGGATATCACTCACTGCTTTTGTCATGTAAAATTTAACACTAGTTGTTCTACTAGTTTATGCTTATTTCTGTTATAAAATTATGTCATGTGGAGTACTAGATTTTGTTCAACTTCATTAGTTCTAGGGCCCGTACAAATTTTCATTTGACTTTTCAGCTATTTTTTCTTCTTATGGAGATTATTGTTTTTTTAAACAGTGTCATTTTGTTGTAATCTTTGAACTAGAAATTTCTTGTTCTAATTCTTTTTGCTTTAATTTTCGTAGACTTTGACTCTTAATATAGAACAGTTTTAGAATTTGGAAATTTCTAAATATGTTTCTTGAGAAACACAAAAATGATATGTAAAACAGGAATATTTGATTACATTGGTGCTTTGTATTTTTTTTTTCTTGAGAAACACAAAAATGATATGTAAAACAGGAATATTTGATTACATTGGTGCTTTGTATTTTTTTTTTGTTCTAGTAATGTTACATTCCGTGCTACTTTTATCTGGAAGATTTGAAAAAAAAATTGGGTTGTAAGATTTACTTATAGATTTTGAAGATTTAAGAAAGCATGAAACCATGTTCTCTACTAATCTTTTAGAAGAAAATAAAGTGGTGCTTTGATTGTATCCTTGTCAAGTTTTTGAATTTCTTGAAATACTCTATAATTATTTATTTTATTTTCCTTTCTTTTAAATTTCTTGATTTTGTAGATATCTTTCTTGACGTTGTAATATTGATAAAAGAAAAAGTTCACTTAAATTCTTGAATACTTGTATAGTTCCTCGTATAGTCATCCTAGACCTTCAAAATATTTTTGTAACCTTTGAATTAATAATAACTATAAGATCATATTTGGTGTACTTTTTATAAGAAGTTCTACTTTTTCTAGGTCTATAATTACCATATCCATATTTTTTCCTACTCGTATTAATTATGGAGTTCTAATCACTCAAAACTTCATTTTTTTAGACTTTGAAGAACAACGAGATGCTATGTTATCTGAGTACTTCTATATGGAGTTTTACAGTACCTGATACGTGTCGTACTCATTTACCCGACACTTCTTGGACACTCTTTTAATAAATGCATATATTTATTCAGACATGTACTCAATTATGCATTGACATGTACTCAATTATACAATGCATAATTAATTTAAAACACTCGTCATACATTTCTTGCATATGTATCCTACAATTCACATCCATCTTAGTAAGTTGTTGGATAAGGGTGTAGTTCATTTCAGCCTTAAGAACTATGATTTAAAATGATCGTTTACATATAACTCAGAACTATGACCATACCAAACTATGACCATACCATACCATACGTAACTATCTGATGCAAATCACTCGATTCCCTATCAATATTTGAAATTATTGGTCATGTTTATAATCCATATTCATTGGTGATCATTTGATTGGCAGAGTTTGATTTCCATATTCTTTAAGTTGCCTTAATTGCTCTTATCACCTTTCTTCTTGTTTTTTGTGTATGGGTGGATGGGTGGGTGGGGTGGATGGCTGTGTGAAATGCTCTTGAGCAAAGACCATAGCCTGATCTTGAAGTCCGTCTTTTTTGTGTGAAATGCTCTTGAGCAAAGAACATAGCCTGATATTGACATCCTTCATCTTTTTCGAGTTTGTGTAACTGTGTGTGTGCGCGCGCGCGCCCGCGTATGTGAATGTGTGTGTGAAATGCTCTTTAGCAAAGACCAGTGAATTATCTTGATTCTCTGAGTACTTCTATATGGAGTTGTACAGTACCTGATACGTGTCGTACTCATTTACCCGACACTTCTTGGACACTCTTTTAATATATGCATATATTTATTCAGACATGTACTCAATTATGCATTGACATGTACTCAATTATACAATGCATATTTAATTTAAAACACTCGTCATACATTTCTTGCATATGTATCCCACAATTCACATCCATCTTAGTAAGTTGTTGGATAAGGGTGTAGTTCATTTCAGCCTTAAGAACTATGATTTGAAAGGATCGTTTACATATAACTCAGAACTATGACCATACCATACCATACGTAACTATCTGATGCAAATCACTCGATTCCCTATCAATATTTGAAATTATTGGTCATGTTTATAATCCATATTCATTGGTGATCATTTGATTGGCAGAGTTTGATTTCCATATTCTTTAAGTTGCCTTAATTGCTCTTATCACCTTTCTTGTTTTTTGTGGATGGGTGGGTGGGGTGGATGGCTGTGTGAAATGCTCTTGAGCAAAGACCATAGCCTGATCTTGAAGTCCGTCTTTTTTGTGTGAAATGCTCTTGAGCAAAGAACATAGCCTGATATTGACATCCTTCATCTTTTTCGAGCTTGTGCAACTGTGTGTGTGTGTGTGTGTGTGTGTGTGTGTGAAATGCTCTTTAGCAAAGACCAGTGAATTATCTTGATTCCTTCATCTTTTTTGAGCATAGTCATGCTGTAAATATAGTAGTGTATCCTGTGTGCAGGCTATAATTTCGTAGTCCTACTGACTGATAGTCAATCTTTATGAACTACTACTAATAAGTAAAGATCTTTTCCATCTTGTATGTGTCATGTTTTGAAATAAAAACACATCTAGTTATATTACACAGGACAAAATATGCACAAGCTCAATTCTGTGGACTGTGACTTTCACCTGAAATTCATCATACTGCAGAGTTTGGAGTCTCTGATTCAATACTGATTGTGAAAAGAGGACGGATGAATCGAGAACCTAACCTCATACGGATGCACTTAGTGTGAAAGCTATTGCAACATCTCATCAGATCCCAAGTCGATAGGCAAATGCGAACTCCAGCTTCCCCCAGTGGTGCATCATTGAGTAAAGAAAGACCAGCAGATAAGCAAATACTTTCAGGTTTGAGCTTATTATTCTGATGGTAAGAGTAGGAGATGGTGTAGTTCAAGCAAGAGCACTGCTGGTGTTAATTACACTGGGATTGACAATCCTTTAAGAAAGATAGCAAATATAACCAGCATATCAAAACGAATGGACTCTACAATCAATGAGCATCAGCTTAGAATCTCAGTGAGGCAGCAGAGTTAATTTAAGTCGAGTATGGAAGTCCGAATAATAAGGACTCTTGCAAGATTATTGGCTTGGTATTTGATGCCAAGATCCTATAGAAAGGAGGCCCAAAGTCAAATTTGAAGGTTATGATTCAATGGAATTGTAGGTTTTCAGTTTGCATCTTGACTCTCAGGTACTCCAACCTGGCATCTCATAATATTATGCCAACCTAATTTTGAAAATGCAGGAGAGTGCAGACATCTGGCTGAAGCAAAACAGGGTATGTTCATATGAGATATCTATCAATCGGAGATTTGTTGAACCATTCCAATGGAGATTCATGCCACACAAAAATGCAAACGTAAGCGTTTTTGTTTTGGAAATGACCACATAATCTGCTGCCTGCGCACTGAAATATACAGTACATTCTATAAGTAAAGGGTTGCCCCCCCCCTCCACAAAAAAAGGACCTGACGGTGACACCTTCTAGATGCAACACGCGAGAGAGATAATCATTAATGTTGTAAAAGGGCCTAGGAATCCACTTAGGTGTTTTGCTATATAATGTTTCATGTTGATCTGTCTTAGGTTGAAAACTTAGATTTTGGAATACCCACAACTTTAATTTTTCACAAAGCATATGCACAAGTTTCTCCTTTCTTTCATCTCTATGTATATAACCCTTTCTTCTCCAAATCTGAAGAGCCCAAATCGTATTTTTCAAGAGACATGAGAGCAGACATGGTGTCTTTGGTTAAGGGATGACCTTGGGAGTCTGTTCTTAGATCACAGAGAGGGATATCATATAGCCTATAGGCTGTATAATTTTGTAATGATTTCTAGCGCTTCTTGTATCAGTTCTAGAATTACTTCTGAATCTAGACTAGAAGAAATCAAGTTCACATATGAGTTTGGTTCTCTAGTTTAGTTAGGTATTTTTACTGGACTGCATTTAGAGGAAAAAGTTAAAAACCTTAAGAACCAGAGTCGAGGATGCTGAAACTAAAAACAGAGAGGTTCGTTGGAATTCCGGGTGTCACGCCCCGAAACTGCAGCGGAAATTCATAAAATACGGGGTGTGTGACAGCAGTGACCCGTGCACGAGACAAGTCTTATGCACGAGTCAAGCCTGGCAATTCATATCACATAGTTTATTTTTAAAATATTCATAAACCTGCTGATGATAGAAATCAGAGCAACTATATATATATAATCGGTACTTACAGCCCACAAGCTCACCGTTAAAAGCATTTTTACAAAACAAAACAAAATATGCTGAAGGTAACATCAACAAGAAGAGGCTCTCCATATAACGCCTCTCAGCCAAAAGCTCAAACCAAAAGTTCGGCTACTATGAAGCTACGCCGGATCTGAAAAAAATTTAAAAACAACGGAATGAGCTAGCGCTCAGTGAGAACATTTCCCACTAGAGTTCCTAGATAACTAATAAAATAGTAACAAGAATAGTTCTCAGAAATTAACAAATTTCAAGTTTTTGCATGAGAAATTCACAGATAGCAGAATACGATCCAAATATCGTAATATTGTCATTTTTAAGAAAGAATACAACAATTATATTTTCTTTCTCATGTGCAACTGAATAAACTGTGAAATTTCTTGAAATCAAACCCTTTTTGAATCAAGGTAAACATTAAGAAGAAAAAGAACTACTAATTTGTATAAAATCAGAGAATTGTTGTTTTCTTAATTTCACAGTCAATTATCAGAATCTTATTTCTCGATGAGTATTTCATGAATGCAAAAGTCACCCCATAGGTCACACTAAGGCTACGAATTTTAGCCCAGTAACAAGGGAATGCGTAAACCGCATCAGATAACAAATAATTCCCGGGAACCGAATGCACCTAACACTGCCATAGGCTACCGGCCAAATACAGAGGGGCCAGAATAGATTTCAGAAGGGCCAATACAGAAGGGCCAAGGCCAATACAGAAGGGTCAAATAAAGGTGCATTCACCATATGACAGGCAGAACTAATCCATAGTGGACTATTTGAGGGTTTAAAACATCAAGCTCACATGTCAAATGAGAAATACTTTGCATATCAGAATTTGCAAATGTTTCAGATGAAATTAATAAGGTAAAACTTCTCATTTCTGTTAAAACAGTTTACGGATATTTACTTTTCCTTTTATCAGATACTAAACGACGGAAAATCTTTGAATCCGTTAAACTGTTGAAATACGTTCCAATATTTCATCAAAACTTTCAAATATAACAAGGTCCATAATTATTTGAAAATTGCACGAGAGCCAAAGTTATTTTTCATATTTTACATAAAGATCAAATTAGCTTTTGATATATTGTACGAGGCTAACATCGTATTATAGGATAGACCACAACAGAAATAGGTCAAATCTTTATATACATGAAAAGACATATTATTTATTTATTTATTTTTATCACAAGATAAATCAAATATAAAACTCATGCAATTTTATATTATAAAATACTAGTGAGAAATGAACTCACCTCTAGTGGTCACGACTTTCTCAAAATATTAGTCTCCCGAATATCAACCAGAACCTATAATGTAAGATATATGACTAATTATTAATTCAAAACAACATATATTATAGGTAAATCAATTCATAATCTAGAGTCTAGATAATCAATAATAATTAAATTCTACAGTACATATGAGCTTATTATTAACTTTAGCAATTTATCACAATTTTATAACTCTCACATACTAGCTTTTTGGATTTCCTAGTAGTTTATAATAATGCAGGGGGTTATAGGAAATTTATCAAGTCTACAAGTTTTTGTTTATTCCTCAGACTGGACTTATTTACAAATTGAGTAAAGAACAGGGGCTTAACAGATATTTTTCAGCCATTTTTCAACCATTACTTAATTTTACTAAGGTCTGTTAGAAACTTTCATATGGTTCAGGGGCTTAAGGTGAATTTTTCCTCCCTTTATAAAAAAAAAACCCCAACTGATCATCTTCCTCCTCCCCTTCTTCGTTTCTTCTTCTTCTCTTTTTTTTTCTTTTTTTTTCCGGTTCCCTCTTTTCCTCTTTTTCTTTCGGTTTTTCTCCTCTCTCTCTCTCTCTCTCTCTCTCTCTCCTTTCCATGTCTCGCCAAAACCCCAAGACTGCGGCAAGGGATCGCCGGCGACTAGGGATGGCCGATGGTCAGACCTCGCCGAAACTAGGGTTAGTTATTTCCTTTTTTTCAGTTTGTTTCATGAATCCAAAACACACAAAAGAATCCTTTTTGCAAACCCTAGATTCTTTTTAAGTTCATATTCATAACAATTTAATTCCCTTATTCATTCTATTTTGATTGATTAACTAAGATTTCTATAACAATTCTCTTCTAAATCAAGAAATTATCATAGAAAAGGGTTTATACCTTTGGGTTAACGTGAACAACTTTGGGTGAAATCCTCTCTTTTCCCTTCCCTTTTCACTGTCTTCTTCCTCTTCTTCTTCTTCTTCTTTTTTTTTCGTTTTTTAACCTGGATTTATCACATTTCCTCCCCTTCTTATACTGTTGGGAGGCGGTGAGATTATAGAAATCTAGTAAGCGGTGGAGGAAATCTCCACCACAAAATTTTACAATATTTTATTTATTTATATATTTTTCTTTTTTTTTTGTTGGCTATTAAAGTAAGCAATTAATGCAAGTTTGTCACTTACTCGATATTATCCTGTTAATATGCATTATGACTTGCTGTACAATGTTTATGTTGGAGTTTGAACCTTATTGTTGTGCACTTCTGTTGTGTATGTCTGTTGTGGTCCGCATTAGTAGATTTGGTCTGCATTAATTTTTTTAAGAACAAGGATGGGGTCTCAGTGTAAGACCCCACCCTACACTACCTTCTGCATTAACACCCGTATGACTCAGTAAACATCCCCATCCATATGATGAAAACTGAACAACAGAGTATTCTGTTATAATGGTGTTTATATTAGGTTATGCTACTTTGGATATTGTTGAGTTTTTTCCTGTACTTTATATTCGATATAAATCTTCAGAATATAGCTAGCTATATTTTTAATACTCATTTTGTACACCCGTGGAGATTTGTTCACTTTTCTTATCTTCTATAAGTTTTGTTATGCTGATGTTCTTTTTATAGTTATCTTTATACTGTGTCGTGACTGACAATATGGCACGGGTAGTCTTCTAACCAAATTGGATTCTCTGATGATTTGTCTTGGATATAAGTTAATATATCTCAAACATGTATGTAGCATATTCAAATTGGTTTCTTTTGATCTTACAAACTGATTGAATTGAAAACTTTACATGTCTAATGCACTAGGCATACTTATTGACTTCAATTTTCAGTTGTTTGCATTATAAACTTATGTTATCCAATCTATTTATTGCGAGAAGGAGAGGGTTGCATTTTGCTTCATAGTACTCTATGATGGTATTTTTGCTTTCATCTATTCAAACTAGTGGTCACATACTCTTGGTGGTATCCTGTTAATCTGTATTATGACTTATTGTACAATGTCACTTACTCCTGATTATATTCTGTTGATGTGTACTGTGACTTATTGTACAATGTCTTTGTTGGAGTTTGAGCCTTATTATTGTTGTGAACTTTTGTGCTCTGCATTAGTATATTTGGTTCTGCGCCTGTTATAGGAGAGTGTGCTCTCGCGTGCATGCGTGTGTTTAATAGAGTAAGGATGGGGTCTCAGGGTTAGATCCCAGCCCTCTTTTTTGCATTAACCCTCAAAATGGTTGGTTATATATGACTCAGTTAACATCCCCAGCCTTAGATGAAACCGAACAACAGTGTATTCAGTTATAATTGTGTTTATATTGGGTTTTGCTACTTTGCATATTATTGAGTATTTTCTATACTCTATATTCAATATAGATCTTCAAAATGCAGCTTGTTGTATAGTTAATATTCATCATTGTACATCTCTGGAAGTTTGTTTATCATGCTTCTTATCTTCTGTAATGTAACGTCCCGCCCCGGAATCCCAGAGTCGGTACGCTATTAGATCTGATGAACTGGCCTCACAAACAACCACATGTCTTTTCAGCACGTTTTTGTCCTCACTCACGCACTCCCTGGAAAACTTCCCAATGGGTCACCCATCTTAGAATTTTTTCAGGCCAAGCACGCTTAACTTTGGAGTTTCTAAGAGTTGGGTTCCCGAAAAGAATATGCATCTTGGTGTTACGAGTATTCCAATCAAATCTATCAATACTAATTACATCATCCTCTCAAGGGTTGGGGTATTACAAATTCCCCCACTTAAACTCGCAACGTCCTCGTTGCGCCAAATCATATCATCCAAGACCGTTCCATCCGTGTGAGATTTTAGAGGTGGCTCTTACGGCCTCAAGAGGTGGCTCCCGCCCTCTCGACGTAGCACTTTGCGCCACATAGCGCTTAGCTCTCACAATTCCGGTTGGCCAAATCAACATCCCAATCAATTGAGGTATAATCTCCTTTCAAATTTTATAGTAAATCTTAGTAAATCGAATCAAATTAGAATGAGTGAGGGAGTTAAATTGTTATGAATATGAAATAAAAGAATCTAGGGTTTGCAAAGGGAAAAAAAATTCTGTGTTTAGGATGCATGAAACAAACTGAAACAAAAGAAAAAAAAGAAACTAACCTAGATTTAGCGGGGGCGGTCGGGGTCTCGTCGTCGGCCTCTCCTTGTCGTCGGCCGGCTCCTCGTCGCCGTCCAACCTCCATGTCGGAGGAGAGAGCAGAGAGAGAGGAGAAGAAAACCAAAAGGGAAAAAAAGTAGAGAGCAGAGGAAGAAGAAAAGAGGAACAGAAAAAGAAAAAAAAAAGAAGAAACGAAGAAGGGAGGAGGAAGATGATCAGGTGTTTTAATATAAAGAGAGGAAAATTTACTTTAAGCCCCTGAACCATGTAAAACTTTCTAACAGACCTTAGTAAAATGAGTTATGGTTGAAAATGGCTGGAAAATATTTATTAGGCCCCTATCTTTTGTTCAGTTGCAAACAAGTCTAATCTGAAAAATAAAAGACAACTTTTAGACTTGATAAATTCCATATAAAACCCTGCATTATCATAAATTACTAGGAAATCCAAAAAAACTAGTATATGAAAGTTATAAAATTTTAATAAATTGCTAAAGTTAACAATAAACTCATATGTACTGCAGAATTTAATTATTATTGGTTATATTTGAAATTAGTAGACTCTAAATTATGAATTGATTTACCAATAATATATGTTTGTCCTGAATTAATAATTAGTCTTATATCTTATATTATAGGATCTGGTTGATATCAAGGGGACTAATATTTTTGGATAATCGTGTTCACTAGAGGTGAGTTCATTTCTCACTAGTATTTTATAATATAAAATTTCACGAGTATTATATTTGATTTATCTTGTGATCGAAAAATAAATAATATGTCATTTTCATGTGTATAAAGATTTTTATATTTCAGTTGCGGTCTATCCTATAATACGATGTTAGCCTCGTACAATATATGAAAAGCAAATTTGATTTCTATATAAAATATAAAAATTAAATTTGGCTCTCGTGTAATTTTTAAATAATTGTGGGCATTATTTTATCTGAAAGTTTTTGATGAAGTATTTGGAATATATTTCAACAGTTTAACGGATTCAAAGATTTTCCTTTATCTGAAAGTTTTTGATGAAGTATTTGGAATATATTTCAACAGTTTAACGGATTCAAAGATTTTCCGTGACTTAGTATCTTGGAATATATTTCAACAGTTTAACGGATTCAAAGATTTTCCGTGACTTAGTATCTGATAAAAGAAAAAATAAATATTCGTAAACTGTTTTAACTGAAATGAGAAACTTTACCTTGTCAATTTCATTTGAAAATATCTGTAAATTCTGATATGTAAAGTAATTCTCATTTGACATGTGATCTCGATGTTTTCAAACCCTCAAATAGTCCACTATTGATTCTTTCTGCCTGCCATATGGTGAATGCACCTTTATTTGGCCCTTCTGTATTTGGCCCTTCTGAAATTTGTTCTGGCCCTTCTGTATTTGGCTAGTAACCTATGGCAGTGTTAGGTGCATTCGATTCCCGGAAATTATCTGTTATGTGATGCGGTTACGCATTTCCTTGCTACTGGGTTATAATTCGTAGCCTTAGTATGACCTATGAGGTGACTTTTACATTCATGAATAACTCATTGAGAATTCAGATTTTGATAACTGACTGTGAAATTGAGAAAATAATAATTCTCTGATTTGTACGAATTACTAGTTCTTTTCCGTCTTAATGTTTACCTTGTTTCAAAAATTGTTTGATTTTAAGAAACTTCACAGTATATACAGTTGCTCATAAGAAAGAAAATATAATTGTTGCATTCTTTCTTGAAAACAGACAATATCATAATGTTTGGATCGTATTTTGCTATCTTTGAATTTCTCATGCAAAACTTATAATTCGTTAATTCTGAGAATTATGCTTATTATTATTTTGTTAGTTATCTAGGAACTCTAGTGGGAAATGTTCTCACTGAGCGCTATTTCACCCCGTTGTTTTTAAATTTTTTTCAGATCCGGCGTAGCTTCGTACTAGCTGAACTTTTGGTTTGAACTTTTGGCTGAGAGGCATTATATGGAGAGCCTCTTCATTTTGATGTTACCTTCAGCACATTTTGCTTTGTTTTGTAAAAATGCTTATAACGGTGAGCTTGTGGGCTGTAAGTACCAATTATATATATAGTTGCTCTGACTTCTATCATCAGCAGGTTTATGAATATTTTGAAATAAACTATATGATATGAAGTGTCAGGCTTGACCCGTGTATAAGACTTGTCTTAGGCATTGGTCGTTGCAGTCGCGAACCCCGTATTTTATGGAATTCCGCTGTAGTTTCGGGGCGTGACATATAAAGTGTAAACTTTGTTATGTTGATGAAGTCTGCTGTAATCCATCCCCAAACTGTCTTAACTGACAGTATGACATGGGCAGTCTTCTAATAAATGTGTATTTTTTGGTAATAGTCTTGGATATAGTTCAAAATATGTAACATATTCTTGAACTTACGAAGAAAATTTTTACATGTGTATGCACTAGGATTCCTTGTTAACTTACAATTCCTGTTATTTGAATTATTGATTTATGTTATCCAATATATTTATTGCTTGAAAAGTAGGGTTGTATATTTCATCATAGTACCCTATAGTGGTATTGCTTCATGTATTGAAACTAGTTGAATGCTTCTTGTCAATTTTGCATTGGAAAATATTAGACTGAATTTAGATGTTTATTTGGGAAAAAGAAATTAGTTTGCTTTGTGTATACTTAATTGCTCATTATGATGGCTTAAGTTGTACAGTAAATGTGTATTTTTGATAATAGTCTTCGATATAGTTCAAAATATATAACATATTCTTGAACTTACTAAGAAAATTTTTACATGTGTATGCACTAGGAATCCTTGTTAACTTACAATTCCTGTTATTTGAATTATTAATTTATGTTATCCAATATATTTATTGCTTGAAAAGTAGGGTTGTATATTGCGTCATAGTACCCTAAAGTGGTATCGCTTCATGTATTGAAACTTGTTGAATGCTTCTTGTCAATTTTGCATTGGAAAATATTAGACTGACTTTAGATGTTTATTTGGGAAAAAGAAATTAGTTTGCTTTGTGTATACTTAATTGCTCATTATGATGGCTTAAGTTGTACAGTAATGGATGTGGCTTGTGTAGCACAGTTTGTATGAAATTTACAAGTAGGTTTGTGCATCAGCATTAGCAGTTGCAACTTTAACTTTCCTTCGAACTAGCACATTATCATGCATAAATTTTCCTCAAAACTATCACGTATTATTAGCATCTTACAGTGTGAAGCCATGAAAGCGTTCGCCTCAAAGTTTTGCATTATATTCTGTAGAAATATATTTTGAGAATTTTGTGTGATGAATAATAAGAGGGTACAGAATTATAACATAATAGCAAATGTCAAAAATACTCTACCCGCCAGCCAAAGTATTTACCGAGTTAAGTAGTACTTTTAGTGCCCTTATGAAATCAACAATGAATTTAGTTTTAAGTTCCTTCCCCCAATGAAAAAAGTAATAATCAAGAAACTACTTTGACAGTACGTAAAAAAGTATTTTCAGATTGTTTTTAAAAGCAACCCCCCTTCCCCCACCCCAACTCCCACCTTGCGGAAACCCAAAAAAACCAACAAAGAAGTTGTTTTAAGAAGCATGTTAAATAATATTTTACTAAAACCAATATTAACTATATTTTTAATAATAAGTAGAAGTACTCTCAAAAAGCAATATTAAACTAGGCCTAATATTAAACTAGGCCTATGTAATCCTCTCCTATTTCATTTTAATGTGTTATGTAGTTCCATGTGATAACCCCTAAATTTTAAACTAAACAATTCACTATTTATTTTAAAGGATAAATGGTTGTTAACTCAATAAAAATCCCATCCCAACATACCAAATATGTATTACTCAATGGCGTTCTCTCTCTTATTAATTATATGAATTTCAATCATCGGACCATTGTTTCTAACCTATATATATATATTATATATATATATATATATATATATATACTATATATAATGATATATGGGAAAATGGATCTAGCGCTGGGGGAACAAACCCCCTAGGCTCCCACACTAAGGACGCGCCTAAAATCACACCACTGTCCTTAATTACTTTTTACGATCCGCTTCCGTTGAACTTGATCTACACGTTCCTAAACTCAAACACACTAATTATTGCGGGGTGAACCCGTCTTGTTTTGCATTCGTGAGTCGTCCAAAAGTTCTATTTCATTCGAACCGTTCTAAAAATTCGGCGACGTGGATGAAGGGTCAAACACGACGGCGTTCCACCCCCAAATTGGTGTGTTTACGCGTTTAAGACGTGTAGATCAAGTTCAACGGAGCGTTATCGTAAAAAAATATTAGCGGAATGCATGTGATTTCATAGGCCCCGTCCCTTAGGTGTGAGCCTAGGGTGATCCTTAGCTTCAAACACATTTCCTATATATTATATATTATATATATATATATATATAATATTTATATATATATATGTGTGTGTGTGTTGTGTGTTTGTGTGGTGTAGACTGTACCTTCAATTTAGTATGAAACTTAAATATAAAATAATATAAGTGGACAAAAATCATACCATTATAAAATTTGAGGGTAATCTATAGCCCCATAGTCATTTCTTCATCTTTCAATTTGTCGCTTTTCATAAAATTTCTTAAATTTGAAATTGCAAATTAGAAATATAAAAATTTCTAATAAATAAAACTTTATTAAAATATTTTAAATCTTTCCTTTATCCAATATTTTGGGTAGTACAATACATTCTAAATTTGAATATTAAATCAATACTTTGTTCAAAACACTATTTTAATGTATCTGTGAGCTTATTATATTTTAATACAAAATTTATAAAGTAGCTTCAAAGAATGGGCTTGCATTTTAAGATATTAGCTCTTTGAGATACATGTATTCATTTATATAATTAAATTGAAAAATTTTAAATAGTTTTGTAATAACCACTTCAATATAAATTTAATATTTTAGCTTATCTACTCCTCTATAGGTGAAGTAGAACCTAAGGACTTACTATTCATGTTACAGTAAATTCTTAGCATGAACAGTAAATCAAACGCAGAGGTTGTTGTGCCTCGAGAATCCAAACCAATCGCCAAGAAAAGATAAACCAACACACCAAAACAATAGCACAAACAATCAAACACCAGTTTTACGTGGTTCGGCAAGATGCCTACGTCCACGGGGCAAGGAGGGGGCATTTTTCACTATTAGAAATCAAGAGGAACAAACTAGGGTTACAATCACTCACCAAAAACCCACAACAACTCACTCTTGATCTCTCCAAATTCTCCTAGAATAGAAGCCCAAAGAAAACCCTTTCAAATAACTCAAAACTCCTGCCTTGAAACCCTAGAAAACACCCATTAGGTATTTATACCAAAGCCAAACGAAACGGGTCTGAAAACAGAACCCATTCCGGGTCTGAAAACAGAACCCAGACCCGAACCAGAGTCGCGGTCGACCGCAGCGCCATGTGCGGTCGACCGCGAAAAGTCCAGAGGCTCACCCAACTCTCTGGACCAAACGGGGTCGACCGCTGCTCCATGTCCGGTCGACCGCGCCACAAATACATCTGCGTGCACATTGCGGTCGACCGCAGCTCCACCTCCGGTCGACCGCCAGACGCCCAAAAGCACTCTTCGACTTTTTCTAGTGATCAACTCCATACACTCGCCGAATCTACAATTCTCCACCTCGAATCTACAATTCTCCACCTCGGAGAACGTTTTCCCAAAACTGAGCCGACACCGATCAAACCAATGCCTCAACTGTTGCATCCAGTACGCCATGGCAACGGACTCATGACAACGGACCCTATCCACAACACGTCGAGACCCAAACGGGAGTGCGAACACTCAACCCCAAACCAACTGTGTCTACTCACCAAGATCGAACTGAGCCTACACCGACTACACCAAATGTCTCACTTGCTGAGACCCAAATGATCGGCTGCATCAGAAAACTGACTGCCTACGTATCCTCTCCAAGGAATCAAGCCTTCACGTAGTTCACCCAATGGCCTCCAAAGGCCCTCAATCCAACCTGCGGCTGATAGCATCATAAACGACCCCAATCTGAAAACAGTCCAAAACATATCCATCAGCTGCATCCAAATCAACTACCTCATCATCTGCACCCATAAATAAATGACCCTCATGCTGTGCCACCTCAGCTGGAATCCCAACCAATGCAGAATGACCTGGAGTATGTGGGGAAATTCCCA